ATTACTTTATAAGTAAAGCAACAGTAAAACAAGAAATAGCTCATTACCTTAAAGGAGCTTACAATCTAGTGGAAGAGATATACTACAAGAATCAATCAATTTTGCTTATTGACCCATTTCTATGTGCATATTACCATGCCAGTTGTGTTGAACCACCTTCAACTTTTGGCTCATAGTTTACTGGCTGGCATCATTCTGGAAGATTTCAAGATCCATATAGATCACCCACCAATAATTTGCATTATACTTCCTTGGGCATCTCATTTTGTTTCCAAGTCCCTCCTCATCTTTCCCAATTTCAATTCTAGTTCTAAAGCGCAACTGTTCATATCTTGTATTATTTTATCATCTACAACTGCTTCACTTCTGGAGTAATAATTATATAAAATTAGCTATAGAGGGTAGCTATGAGTTGAAACAGACTCAATGACACTTAACAACAACAATCCTAATCCAGCTTTATCTTGTTTTTTTACATAATTTGCTCTCAGTGCAATCATAAGTACATTGTCTTTTTCTTTTCTTCTCTCTCTCCATAAATTTCCTTTACTTGCTTCTTATCCAATGTAGAATCTAGGGATCATTATTTTAATCACTGTCTAAACAAATAAATGTTCAATTCTCTTGCTTCATTGTCTTTCCACTGCACTTATGTGACAAAACTTCAACCCTGGATAAACCTAATGGTCTTCTTATGCCTATATTAAAATTGACAAATGTTGCTAAAGAAAATCACATATTTTCAAAGATGGATGCCATATAAATTAGAGGTCTCCAGTCCTAATTGGAAGGAACTTTAATACTTCCTGCCCTTTCCAGCTGGACTATATGAAGAAGAACGTGGTGTCAAGATTAAAGGAAGGCTAATTATCAACCAGTAATATGCAGCTGACACCACCTTGCTTGCTTTAAGAAGACTTAAAGCACTTGCTGATGAAGATCAAAGAATATAGCCTTCAGTATGGATTACAGTTTAATGTAAAGAAAACAAAAATTCTCACAACTGAACCAATAAACAACATCATGATAAATGGAGAAAAGATTGAAGTTGTCAAGGATTTTCTTTTACTTGAACCCACAATCAGTGCTCATGGAAGCAACAGTTAAGAAATCAAATGATGAATTACATTTGACAAGTCTGCTGCACAAGACCTCTTTAAAGTATTAAAGAGCAAGATGTCAGTTTGAGGACTAAAGTAAGCCTGATTTAAGCCATGATATTTTCAATCCTCATATCCATGTGAAAGTTGGACAACGAATAAAGAAGACTGCAGAAGAATTGACGCATTTTTGAATTATGGTGTTGACAAAGAATACTGATAGTACCATGAACTTCCAGAAGAACAAAAAAAATCTGGTTGGAAGAAGTACAGCCCGAATACTCCTTAGAACTGAGTATGGTGAGGTTTCATCTCATGTAATTTTGGCATGTTATTAAGTGGGACCATCCTGTGGAAGAGGACTTCATGCTTGCTGAAAAAGAGGAAGACCTCCAATGAGACGGATTGGCATAGTGGCTGTAATAATGGGCTCAAACATAACTACAATGAGGAGAATGGTGCAGGACCAGGAAGTGTTTCGTTCTTTTGTAAACAGCGTTGCCTTGAGTCAGAACTGACTTGATGGCATGTAACAACAAGCTCTTCCCAGTTGTCTTTCTGTCTGTTCTCCAGTGATTATTTCAAATCTTCTCCACTCTTTTAAAAGCTTGGATACTTCCATTTCCTCTCTCACTTTCAGCAAATAACTTTATTCATATTTCATAGAGGACACAGAAATTATTGAACAAGTCCTTGATATCCTCTCAACTTAAACACTCAAGTGAATCCCTATCCTTCCTCCCTTTGTTCCTCCTGTTACAATAGACAAGATGGTTTACCTCTTGGCTACGTCTATTCTTTCTGCTGGTACCCTGAATCCTTATCCTATAAATTTTGGAACTCTTTTCCATCACCATTTAGAGTTTAAACCAGAAAATAAACTTTCTTTTCCTTGCAGATTTTCTTCTTCATTCATAATGCAATCTTTTGGGAAGTATTATTTACACTTACCATTTTCACTTTCTCATCTCCCACTCACTTCTCAGTTCCTTCCCATTTCCAATCCCATGGAGTAGGAACCAGAAGGCAATCTGTTTTCTGTCTTTTATTAGAACTGTTGATGTTGTTGTGAAATGTTGAGTCGGTTCTGACTCACAGTGACCCTGTATAGGGTTTCCAAGGAGCAGTTGGTTGGTTAGAACCGCTGACCAATGTTTATCCTACAGTGCCACACCAGGAGTCCTAATTGGAATTACTCTTATCAAAATTGCCAACCACCTCCATATTACTAAATTTAGTATTTTTAATTCCTTATTTTACTTGGCTTTTTGGCAGTACTTAATACTTAATACTTCACAGATTTTTCTTCTACTTCTCCAGCTACTGTTTCTTGGCACTTTTGTGGAGTATTTTTTTTTTTTTTATCACTTATACAGCGGTACTTTTGTCAAGCAATATACAGGACCATCTGATCCATTCACATAACTTTAGCTACCCTGTATTTTTTGATGACTTCCAAATTTATTTTCAGTCCAGGCTTCTCTCCTGAGTTTCAAATCTATACATCCAACTATTGGTTGAAAATCTCTACTTGGCTATTTCAAAGACACTTCAAAGTCAGTGTGCCAAGAGCTGAACTCATCTCTGTCTCCCTCAAAAGCAGTGTTCCACAACTTAGTGAATGGCACCATCAAACTAGAAACTTAACAGTCATCCTTAACTTCTTCCCATACCTTAGCCCCTGCCTGCCATACCCTTCTTCTTCAGTTGTTATACTCATCAAACTGTAAATCCTGTTGATTTTACTTCTACTCAGTTTCATCTACTTATCTTCATTCCCACAAACACTATCATCTCTCACTTAGATTATTTTAACTTCCTCCTAACTGGACTCACTGGAGTTCTGGTGTGGCACTGTGGGTTAATGTGCTGGACTGCAAAGTCGGTTTGAACTACAAGATCGGTGGTTAAAGTTCACCAGCCACTCCTTGGAAACCCTATACAGGGTCGCTATGAGTTGGAAGTGACTTGACGGCACTTAACAACAACAACTGGAATCACTGCCTTCATTCTTGTACCAACAACCATTTTTTTTAATACAGAAGGCAGTGGGGCTTTTCTAAAGCAAAATTATCTCTTCCATGCCACTAAACCTGCAGTAGTTTCCCATTGCCCAAATTCTGTAACATAGGCATTCGTATTCTTTATTAATCTGGACCTACAATAAGTGGGCATAGAAATGGACATAATATAATCAGGATGTATGAAGTGGGCATAGAAATAAGCAAGCAGGAAAAGACTATGAAGGGAGGAGAGGGGGAACCAGACAACAGCTACATAGACTTCTCATAGTCTCAGCAACTGGCAGCAGTTTGGACCAAGTCATGGAAACTTGTGGCATTAAAAGAGCTCTTTCTAAGCAAGCCCAGTTTCTTTCTCATGGCAAGGTTATCCACCCCCAGATAAATCAAGGTCACAGTCTTACTCCCTGTGATAAATATCCCTGCCAATCGCTCCAACTTGGGTGATGTTTTTCAGTTTTGATCATTAATATTAATTACTTCTCTGGAGAGCTCTCAGATTGGCAATTTTCATCTCCATTGCTACTTAATCAATCCAGGTCACGGTGTCTTCATCTGGGGCTCATATATGGATTCAACGGTCCTTTCTTTGCAATCTTTCTCATTTAGCGCTAATAAAGCAATCTCCCATCAAAACCCTGTAACACACTATATCAGTGCTCCAAAACTAGATTTTATTTCTCCCACAGTAAACCTAAAGACTGTGACCTAGCTTCTTGGCCCTCTGCTCTTATGAACACTGTGAACCACTTTCTAAATATGTCCTTTAGAAAACTTCAAAGAGTTTGAGAAAATACTATTGTCTTTCATTTCCCACAAACTTGTTGAAGCCCCTCTTGTATATTTTATGATTGTGAATCTTAGAGTTAATAATGGTCACTCTAAACTGAGATGCAACTTTAAAGAAGGCATAAAACCCAAACTGGCAAAAAAAAAAAAATGTTCTTCTCTCTTAGAATATTTAATTATATTTGACCATATTTTCCCAGTTCACTAATGAGTATATTTTTCAGTAGAGTGTTGTTGTTGTTGTTAAGTGCCATCGAGTTGGTTCTGACTCATAGCTACCCTGGATAGGGTTTCCAAGGAGTGGCTGGTGGGTTTGAACTGCTGACCTTGCAGTTAGCAATCCAGTGCTTATCATAAACATCTACTATTTCCTTTAGGTTAGCTAGTTCTAGGCTTTTTCCCAGACAAAAATTTGATTATAATTAATTTTTCTATCTTTCTGTAAAAGATACTTTTGATGAAAAAGTAGAAATAATGACTGTAGTTAGAGAACAAGCATAACCAAAGATAGAGGGAGAGAGAAAAAGAAAGAGCGAGATTCTTAAAACTTCATTATAAGACACAATATTAAATAAAAGCAAAAACAGACTTCTCTACAGAATATGGTCTTAATTGTGTAAATGTATATATAAAAGTATGTGCATGGAAAAAAGCCAGGGGTGGGGGGTGTTAACTTCACTGAGTGGTGGAATTACAGATATTACAATCTCTTTAGGAAGAATAGGCTGATGGTCAACATTAAAAAAAAATCAGCCAATGAAAACCCCATGAATCACAATGATCTGATCCTGGTGTGCACAGTGACTACCCCCTATGAGTGGGGGACTGATTCAACAATGGCTGAAAACAACAACAACAAGATAATTTTCCATACTTTTCAAATTTTCTATTAAAGGCATATGTTTATTTTAAAAGAAGGACGAAGGTTTTAAAACGTAATGGCTTATCAAAAGAAAAACTCTTTGGGTAACACTTATAACTAATTTTTCCTCTACAGTCATTTGGAAATGAAAGCCAGATTCTTAAAATGATCAAGGTGAATGAAATGCCCTCCAGATAATTAATGCGATATGGAATTTTCTCCGTTTACCAGAGCTTCTCTCTCTCTTCCTTTGGGCTTTGAATCTCTACTTCCAAGATTGGTACTTTAGGCACAAGATCCTTACAGATATTTTCACTTGTAATTATATTAGCAGCTGCCGCTTTCCCCCCTACAGTAAAATGATTTAATTGTTCAAATTCTTGTGAAAGCTTCAAGACCTGTAGAGTTAAATGAAAAAACAAATATTCTATTTTTCATAGCTCTAATGTATAGTTGTGAAAAAATATTGATTCTATTAAATGCTTAAATAATTATTAGAAATGCTCTAATATAAATTCACATCCTAATTAAAGTCTTCCGATTTAACTTAATACTTGGCAATTGTTATGTAACCTAATATTTATATCCTTGACATAAAGGTGGTAGGGTTTTTGTTTTCAAAAAGTATTTTTGGTCTCTAGGGTTACTTTCTCAGCTGTTCAGGGTTTTGTTCTATTTTCACAAGCAAAAAGATGTGATCCATAAAGTTTTATAATTTACCACACATTTTTTTCTCGTTTTGAACATAGATTCATAAAAACAATAAATTGCTATGAGGAACATTAGACAGGATATTAGATAACTATTACAGAGAACACAATGCTTCATATCTGACTCTACTTTAACTTATAAAAGGTCCCAGACTATTATGGTTGTTCTCAAACTTTAGTGTATATAATGTATTGCCTGGGTTATTTATTAAAAATGCAGTCTCAAGCCTCTTCCTCCTCCCACTCAAGATCAGAATCAAGGTCATGTAGTGAGAATGCAGTTGTTGAATCATGGTGGTGGTGGTGGTGATGTGCCATGGAGTCTGTTCTGACTCATAGCCACCCTGAATAGAGTTTCCAAGGCTGTAAATCTTTATGGGAGCAGAAAGCCTCCTCTTTCTTCTGGGGAGCAGCTGGTGATTTGAAATGCTAATACACCTTAAATTCCTAGCCCAGGATATTCTGATGCTAATGGATGCTTTGAGAATCCCTACTGTGCTGTGTGATTTGACTTTGTTGCTTTTGGCCATCTCTGAAGACTTCCTGTCTTCAAAAGTTACTCTTCACAGCCTGAAGCCCATTTTGAGTCTCTCTGAAAGATGCAAAGTTTCTATAGTAATTATGTTGGATTCTTGGAACACAAAGGATTTAATTCTAAATAACAATTTAAGTTTACTTAAAGCGATCCCTTCATTTGATTTCCTATTATCTGAAAGGAAAACGCAGTATGTGAAATGAACTATAATCTCATAATAGTTGAGGCAGTAACTGGAGAAAGTCTGTCATTACCTGGACCTTGGGAGATGGGAAGACATGGATGGGTGAGGGAGAGAGTACAGCACATTTTAAGCATAAGGAGCAATATGATCAAATACACTGATATGGAAATTGTTAAGTGCCATAAGCACAAGTTATCTGTGGAGAAGTGAGGAGGCTGCTATTAACTGTGGTGGTTGTTATGTGCCGTGGAGTCGTTTCCGACTCATAGTGACCCCCGTATAGGGTTTCTGAGGCTGTAAATCTTTACAGGAGCAGAAAGCCTCATCTTTCTCCTGCAGAACAGATGGTAGTTTTAAACTGCTGACCTTGAGGTTCGCAGCCTGATTCATAACCACTACGCTACCAGAGCTCCTTGCTCTAACTTTTAAAAGAAGCTAAAAATGAGGAAATGAAGAAACAGTCAAGAGTGATGAGATAAGGGCCTTGAGAGAAAAAATTTTCCTAGTGAGTCTGCATTTTTTTTTTTAAGTAGGAAAAAAAATAATTTACAATATTAGTCACTTGTTTCTATGGGAATTATAACAATTTTAATAATTCAGAACTTGATGTTATAGCAATCTGAGAACTGCTAAAGTTTTCTGAAGAGGATTGTGACATTACTTAGCATTTCCAAGGCATTTGGGATTCTTATATGACAAAGTTGGTATATGTATTTTAAGTGGATAGGAATTTTTACTCTTTGAAATGAAGAAAGCTAAATCCACAGACTCTACTATGACACAGCTGTTGCGGAACAAGATGGCACTTTTACCTAGTGACACAAATGAGTCTAATAATCAGTCATGTTTAAGCACCATCAATACAAGAGGGTTTCAGAGAGTTCATAGAAAAGGGAATTAAGAGATAATGAAACATTTCCACAAACTTTTTGAAGCCCCTTGTTATTTAGCAAATTGTTTTACATTCTGACAGTGGGCTTAGGATAGAGATTCATTGCTGATGGCAACCTTGGGGCTGAACTTTGGCTAAAAATCACCACGTGACTTAGGCAATAATCAAATATCCCTGGGTCTTAGTGTTCTTATTTGTAAATTGAGAAATTTGGCTTATATGATTATATCCTTTTCAAATCTAAATCCTGACTATTTAGCTAGATATTGTGACTCAATACTTAGACACATAGTTACTGCCTGTTATAAAACAGGCTTCAGCAAATACACAAGAAACAAATTATTTAGCTACTCTTAAAAAAAGAAACCCTGAAAACATAATGATTACGAGCCGGGCTGCTAACAGCAAGGTAAACAGTTCCAATCTACCAGTCACTCCTCGGAGAAAGATGAGACGTTCTGCGCATGTAAAGATTTATATCCTCGGAAAACCAATACAGGGTCCTGTAAGTCAGAACCAATTTGAAAGCACACAACTACCACCACTCTTCAAAAGGCTACCTTCAAGTCTAAAGCACTCTATGTTCTGAAGAAAAATCAGAATATAATAAAAGAAACAAAGATTCAAAACAGAAACCCAAAGTTAAAATTAATGAGTAAAAATGTAAAGGGAAACAGAATACATATAGTTTCAAAGTATGTCCCTCCAAGATATTTATTAATTATAAAAGGAAAAATCATAACTACAGTAGCACAGTTGGGCTGCTAACCTCAAGGTTAGCAGTTTGAAACTACCAGCTGTTCCACAGGAGAAAGAGGTTTTCTGCGCTCATAAAGATTTATAGCTTTGGAAACACTACAAAGGGTCCCTATGAGTCAGAACTGACTCCCCGGCACATAACCACCGCCACCACCACACACACACATACATAGGGTTTCTGAGGCTGTAAATCTTTACGAAAGCAGAAAGCCTCATCTTTCTCCATTGGAACGGCTGGTAGTTTCAGAGTGTTGTCCATGAGGTTAGCAGCTCAACTCATAACCACTATGCTATCATAGCTCCATATGTATAGATGGTGTGTGCTGTGGAGTCATTTCTGATGCGTAGTGACCTTGTGAGTTTCCTGGGCTGTAAATCTTTACGGGCGCAGAAACCCTCATCTTTCTCCTAAGAACTAACTGGTAGATTTTAACTGCTAACCTTACAGTTAACAGCATAACTCATAACATACTATGCTACCAGGGCTCCTTGTATATATACTACCTCAGTCAATTTATTAAAATTCTTGCTGGTCTTAGGGGCTGTCTAGTTTGATTCCAACACACAGCGACCTTATGGACAATAGAAAGAAACATTATCTGGTTCGACACTATCCTAATAATCATTGTTAAGCTTGAGTCCATTGCTACTGTCACTGTGCCAATCCATCTCATTGAGGGTCTTCCTCTTTTTTGCTGACTCACCATTTTACCAAGCATGTTGTCCTCCTCCAGGGACTGGTCCCTCCTGACAATATATCATAAATATGAGAGTTTGGCCATCCTGGCTTCCAAGGAGCATTCTGGTTGTATTTCTTCCAACACTGATTTGTTTGTTCTTCTAGCAGTCCATGGTATTTTTGATATTCTTCTCCAACCCTATAACTCAGATATATCAATTCTTCTGTGGTCTTTATTCATTATCCAACTTTCACATGAGGCTATTGAAAATGCCATGGTTTGGATTAGGTACCCTTTAGTCCTCAAATTGACATCTTTGCTCTTGAACATTTTAAAGAGGTCTTGTGCAGCAGATTTGCCTAAAGCAATACATCATTTGATTTCTTGACTGCTACTTCCATAAGTGTTGATGGTTCATCAGAGCAAAATTAAGTCTTTGACAACTTCAATCTTTTCTCCATTTATATAAATGTTGTTTATTGGTCCAGTGGTGAGGATTTTTTTTTTTCTTTGCACTGAGGTGTAACCCATACCGAAGGCTGTGATCTTTGATCTTCATCAGTAAGTATTTTAAGTCCTCTTCACTTTCAGCAAGCAAGGTTGTATCATTTACATATTCCAGGTTATTAATAAGTCTTACTCTCATCCTGATGACAGATTCTTCTTCATATAATACAGCTTCTCAGATTATTTGCTTAACATACATATTGTATAAGTATGGTGAAAGAATATAACCCTGACACACACTTTTTCTGATTTTAAACCATTCAGTGTCCCCTTGTTCTACTCAAACAATTGTCTCTTGGTCAATGTACAGGTTTCTCATGAGCACAGTTAAGTGTTCTGGAGTACTCATTCTCCACAATGTGGTTCACAGTTTGTCATGATCCACACAGTTGAAAGTCTTTGTATAACTGACCTAACCCCTGGGGGGCTAGGGATAAGAGTGAAGCAGTCAGTAGATCTGAAGGACAGGGAGGTTGTGTGAACTCCCAAACTTGCAGCTAGTACCCATTTGACATAGCTTGGATGGCTAGTTGACCAGAACTGGAACCAAGGTAGATAAAGATATTTGATACTGAGAACAAGTGAAAATTGCAACAATTTTATGAACTATGAATGCATTGACTCAAAAATCCAACTGGAATGCAAGTATTCTTCATATTAAGGAACAACCTTGTTTCTTTAGTATACTGGGTTGGTTTGTTATTGTTGTTAGGTGCCATTGAGTTGGTACTGACTCATAGAAACCTATGCACAGCAGAATGAAACACTGCCTGGTGCTGGGCCAACCTCACAATTATTGCCACACTTGAGCCCATTGATGCTGCCACTTTGCAAATCCATCTTGCTGGGGGTCTCCCTCTTTTTCTCTGACCCTTCACCTTACCAACCATGATATCCTTCTCCAGTGACTGGTCCTTCCTGACAATGTCCAAAGTATAAGAGATGAAGTTTGGCCACCCTGGCCTCCAAGAATCAAGCACTCTGGCTGCACTTCTTACAATACAGATCTGTTTGTTCTTTTGGCA